ATTCTCCACATGCTTCAGTGACATAAATCAATCGTTTAACCGACTACGCAATCATTCTTTTACGTTTCCTTTACAGACGAGAAACTTCAGCTCAGCTTTATTGATGAGAATCAGAGGTAGTTGTGCAGTATGTGTGAGAAATGTAGAAATAGAGCTTCATTAAAAATGTTTCCTTTCATTATCTTCGTCATTTCATATTATAATCATTAGCCTTGTAAACTGTTAGCCTGCCACATATTGTGCTGTATTGTACATTTATTTGTAAAGATTGTTTTCAGTATATTTAATAGTACAGGTAAGCCTGCTGTACCTGAACAATCTGCATATTGTCCGTATCACATTAGTGGATTACTGATCATGAAGCTGAGATATTGTGTTGTTTTTTTAAAAAGGCTTCATATTTAAGTCAACACCATTGTTTCTATTGTGCAGCTATTTAAAAGCTTCAGTTTTTGGAAAAAACTATAAAAATGTTTCATAAATTAATGTCTGGATTACTTAAAATCCCCCAAATATGATCTATAAATCATGTTTTAAGGCTTTTTATGTCTAAAGCATCTGTGAGGCAGTCCCAGTATGAGCTGTTACACCGTGAATCAAATAAAAATGGAACCATTGTGATTTTCTAGTCACATAGAAGTTTCATATCTGTGGTGCTAGGCTAACAGTTTCCTGCTGTTCCCAGTCTTTGCGCTAATCTAGCATGAAGAAACAAGAGGTAGACGACCTGCTGACAGAGATAAATGTGGCACCCTGACCCTGACAGAACAGTTTGTCTAATCACAGCACACACACACACAGTGCTGCTGCTTTACAGGATCAGGGGATTTAGAAACTTTCCCTCTCAGAGTAACGCTCCGTCTCTCCTCCAGCTGTGCTGAGTCAGCACGGAGGCAGAGGAGGAAGACGAGAGGATAAAGAGGATTTAACTGATCCAGTTTCTTCATGTCTGACTCTGATTCACGTGTGATTTATCTGAGTTGCGAGAAGGCGGCGCGACGATCGCTGACGTGCATGAACCACGGGGCGACGTGCAGCCTCCGCAGGTCTGCTTCAGCACGCACACATCGATCAATCCGCCGCTGAAAGTAGCGCACTATTTGCTCCTGTGTGTCATGGCCGCAGAGATTTACCTCCTCACCTCAACGGGAAAACGTTCAAGCTCAGCTAGCGAGAGTTTTGACGTTTTCACTTCCTGTGTGAAAAAATTTGAGCAAAAATATGATCTGGAAAAATCTGCTTAACCGACACAGTTGGCTCTACACATTCAGTTCAATATAATTTACCATTAATTTATTGTGAGCTAAGGACCCAACAACAACCTGCTGCAGGCTGTGGAGCCTCCGGCCTGCAGCCTGAGGCAGGAGGATCACCCTCCACAGCTCCGGTCCACCTCTCTGACTCATGGGCTGCTGCCTGGGAAAGATGTGGGCTGGAAAAAAACAAGTTCCCGCCAAACTTAGGCAGCTGTTAGCACACCTGAGCAGCCTGCCCAGGTAACGTGTGTGAGTGGGAGCTGTGCACAGCTGGACAGTTTAATCCACCTAAATCTAAATCCTTATATTTGAGCTCTGACCTGTGATGAACTCTGGATGTCCCCACAGTGGATTCTGAGGGTCCTGAGGCCTGTGGGCGGAGCTTTAGAGGACCAGGCGTGTTTCAGCGTGTCCAGCTGCTTACTCAGGAATCTGTGGAGTTTGGAGGCTGGGCAAACGCTTTGGGCTCGTGGTGGAGTTTGTTCACAGGAGCTTCCTCCTGAGTGGAGAACCCGGAGCGACTGAGACTTAGATTAGCTGTTGAGGTGGATTCAATTCAGTTTCCATCCATCATGAAGTCAGCTGATCTTCAGAAACATGAAGATGCCTGCAGAGTTTTGGTGTTAAACACACTGACAGGAGCTGAGTGCACAGCTGCTACTGGGAAACTGTGTGTTCTGAGTACTCTGTGGCTTTCCAAGAAAAATGCGCGCACACACACACACACACACACACACATGTACACATAGGAGGCACTTTAACATGCAGTGTACCGTGCAGCAGTCGAGGATGACGTCCAAAAATCTGACAGCTCAGACCAGTTTCTGTACAAACAGTTCTGTGGGTGTGTGTACAGATGCATGCCATCACTATGAGATGTCATATTTTAATACCTTAACGTTCTTTATTACTTATCACGAGCTCCACATAACCTCGGCGCTGCAGCAGCGACCGCGACACGCCGCTGTCCTGGATGTTACGTTTTCCTTCACATTCACTTTATTTACACTTTTAGAAGAAATCTTTGGCTTTTGCTTCTGCCAGCTGTCCTTAAACCTGCGTGCACATCAAAGACTTCATGCTCCAGTAGGTCAGCGCTCCGGTGACAGCTGCATGTCTGCACATGCATGGGAGCCCTGCAAACAGCCAGTTTAGCTGCGTTTGTCATTTTGCCAAAATATGAGCAGTTAAATTTCCAACAAACACGCCTGCAGTTCAGATAACTTCCCGACTCTATGACTATATTACACTTCCTGTTTACATCCTCTAAAGGTGCCAAATTATCAGAAGGTTTGTCTGAAGATGGACTCACAGAGACACAGGAGATGACCTCAGTGTCGGTTTCCTCTATCATGATGAGACTTCCGAGCTTCCTCTAAAGTTAACAAAAATGTGTTTGAATCCAAAGAAATCCAAACATTCATGTTGTCTTGTTGTCGTGAATGTCATCGCGCTTTAACTGGAATGAAAACATGAAAGGAAGGAAGGGAGGTGCGAGAAAGGATGAGTTTAGTGATAAAACTGTGAAAACAGAGAAGAAATTGAGGAAAGGAGGGAAAAAAGGGAATGTTGGGAACACAGAAAAGGATGGAGTGCTGGAGGAGAGATGGGGATTAATGAGTGGGAGAGGACAGATGAGGATGAGGACCTTGGGGGACTGAGTGGGAGGAGACAACACAAGAAAAGATCGGAAGAAAGAAAAGTGGGAAAAAAAAAAAAAGAAGAAGAATAACCCACATAGCAGACAGGTCTGGACCAGGTCTGGTGTCAAGCTGGCACTGCTGACTGACTGGTGTCATGGCAGAGTGTATGTCAACCAGATGTGGGCCAGGTCTGGCAATGAGGCACTATTTATGTTCCCATTTTCCTATTTTAGTCAGAAGACCCAAATGCCATGTTGCAATACTATACTGCTATGGTAGCTAATGTTTCAAATGCAGGTTTGTGAGTTCACACTTTATCCAAACCTAGTGAGGGTTTACTCAGGTTCACCACTCGGTGGCTGTAGCTCAGGAGGTAGAGCAGGTCACCTACTGATCTGAAGGTTAGGGGTTTGATCCCTGATTCCTTCAGTCTGCATGTCAAGAATATGAATGTAGTTAGGAAGCACTCAGTTTAGAGAAAGTGTCTGATTGGGTGAATGTGGCATGTTGTATCGAGCACTTTGAGTAATCTGGGAGAGTAGAGAAGTGCTAAATAAGAATCAGTCCATTCACTCTCTGAACAGAGTTTCATCATGTTACTTTTGCACTATTATGTTCCAGCACATGTTGTTATTACATGGCTTGATTAAGGTACACATTAGGCTGACATCTGGGCCAGCACAGGTCCAGCAGTGAGTCTGCAGCTGGCCTTGTGCTGGCCCATGTGTGGGCCACCTCTGGCAAACCAGATCTGGCCACCAAAGGGCCGTCATTCTTTGCGGTATGTGGGCCATGTGTTAGCACATTGTGTGGGCCATACCCATTTTGCTATGTAGGGAAGAGTATAAATAGGAATAGAAGGAAAGGACTTAGGAAATGGTTGAGGAAGGAAGGAAGGATGAAAGAAAAAGTGGAAAAGAAGGATACAAAGAAAGAAGGAGTGAAGAAAGGAAGGAGAGATGGATAAATTGATAAATGACGGAAAGAAGATAGGATAGAAGGAAACAGGCATTAGCTGACTTTATTGCATCACATGTACAGTAACAGCACATGTCTGAACTTTTCTGCGCGGCCCTGACCAATGGGTCGCTTCCCTTCAGATGAAGAGCAGCTGTGTTATCTTTGTGATGTCACAGTGGGCGAACAGCCAATCGGTGTGCAGCCAGACATGTTCAGAGGTCCTCGGTTCGCTGTTTGCTTAAAGTCTGAGGAGAGTGGAGGCAACAGGTGGAGGTGAGACAGGTCACAGCTGCTCTGCACCGTGTTCCTGTACCTGTTACTGGAGTGAAAGACCATCAGGAGCTTAGTGCTCTGAACTGCAGTGTTTAGATCAGGTGTGAGGAAAACCTGCAGGACAGGTGAGAAAGGCCCGAGGCCGTCACCATACTAGATGTTTGAACTCACTCTGTGATGTGAAGTTTAAAATCTGTCGGTACAGTCTGAGCTTCTCGTGTTGCTTTTTCACTCAGATCTCCTCCACTGACTTTCAGGTGAAGTTCTGAGTGCAACCTGAGCTCTGATGTGTTAGTTTCAGCAGGAAGTGGCTGATCTTTAACCTGCCGGACTTCATTCCTCACACCGTCACAGGCTCCACAGGTGCCGCCCAACTCGTTCGATTCTCGTTTTTACGGTTCAAAGCTGCATTACACCTTCCTGCTTTGGTCCGGGGCTTCCCTGAACACATCACACAATGACCTGATGACTGGGTTTCATTACCTGTGAACTCTGAAACATCCCCTCCTGTTTGAGACACCAAAGGACTGAGTGTCTATGGTGAAGAAACTCTAAATATAGGCGTCTAAAATTATATTTAGGACTTTTGGTTACATATTTAAAATAATATAGCTAAATGACAGATTATTTTTGAATTTTTTTATTAGAAATCTCTAATGAGCTGATGAGCAGTTGCGCGGGTCTTCTGCACATGAGGCAGCCATGAGATCACACAGATCTAAGAGTCGAAAAAACAGAAAAAGCCAAAACAGGTCCACTTCAGAGTGGTTACTGTTCCCTTCAGGGCAAAAGACCAGGAAACTGCATCATCCAGTGGCCTTTAGAGGAACTGCAGCTGATGCTGTGCACTCCTCTCTTTCTCTCTCAGTGTGTCAGGGAATGAGCAACCACCTGTCGCTGTTGGGGACGTACGAGCAGCACTACGACAGCATGGTGAGGATGTACTCCAACTGCTCCGTGGTGCTGGAGAACCTGGAGATCACCTACACGCAGGAGCACCACGACCTGTCCTTCCTGCAGGTGAGCCACCGTCCCTCAGCATCAACAAACCAGTGTACAAATAAAATGAATGATTATAAATCAATAATTAGAGGTTAGGGTTATAAATGAACCAAAGCAAATAATAAAGTGAAAGAAAAGTCCATAAATAAAATCAATAAAACCAGTAACAGAGAAACTAACAGAGAAACTACAGTCTGGAGTTTCTCTGTTAGTTTTTATTGGAATAAAAATTAACGGACTTTATTTCAGCATCATTTTGAATGAAGGATGGTCTTTGGCACAATAACAGGAAACCAGCTTCAGCTGAATTATCATTAAACACCAGTTCTCATAAGTCTGACTCACTGTGAGAGCAAACAGCAGAGACACGGCGAGGCCAAACAGCGTGGATGTTTCTGTGCGATTCACACGTCAGCTGTGACGGTGGGAACGCCTCACTCCTCTGAGCCTCAAACATCACTCCAGCCTGAAAACAAGTTTGAAACAGGGAGGAAAACCTAAAATACGATGTTAAAATCACTCATTTTTGTAAAGGTTTCTCAGAACGTTTATCAGGTGAACTTTACACTGAAGAGACTTCCTGTTGCTCTGGTTGGGCCCACCTGAGGTTACACTGGTCTGTGAACGCCTCGCTGCCTGAGGAAACGTTTGGTGGATGCCGAGCACCTCGGTGGACTCATCTGTGTTTTTACTGTTTTATCTTCCCTCACACAAACACAACTGTGTCTGTGCTGCATTCAAGGAGCCTCTGTTATCTGGTTGCCTTGAGGAGCTCTGCTTTTGGGAAATCAAACCCAGATGTTAAAAAATAAGAGAAGGGGAACACTTTGAGAAGCACCGTGTGGGAGTCAGATCCGTCGCGCTCAGGCAGCTGGTCATGTGACCATGCCTGCACATAAAAGTGACTGAACACTGAAAGAAAGATGAAGGGCAGGTTTCAGCAACACATTCATACATAAACATAGAAACAGGGCAGCGAGCAAAGCGTTTCAAAATGATGTTAATCAAACCAATCAATAAGAGTGTTGTTAAAGGCTACATTTACAATAATGACTGACTTTATTTGGACTCATTTATCCTCCTCTTTGCTTTAGTCCATAGAGGAAGTAAGCGGTTATGTTCTGATCGCTATGAACGATGTGGCGACCATCCCATTGGTCAACCTGAGACTGATCCGGGGACAGAACCTGTACGAAGGCCGGTTCGCTCTGCTGGTGATGTCTAACTATCACAAGAACGCCTCATCTGCAACCATCAACTACACCAGCGGCCTGAAACAGCTGCAGCTCAGCAGCCTGACCGGTACACACACACACACACACACAGGCACACGCACACAGACACACA